CTTCCACCTTCTCCTGGAGCTCATTTGTCTATTCCTTCGAATGGCCAAATGGTCCAGAGAGTTCAGACTATTCAGCTTCCTGCTCAAAAGCAGCAATTGCTAAAGAATATACAATCTCAAATACAAGCTATATTAGCTCGTAAATCAGGTTCACAACCGGATCAAACGGTTTTGACAAAATTATATCAAGAACAAGCAAAAATTTTAGCAAGTGGAAAAGTTGTTAGCACCACAACACATTCCGTTAGTAGTGTAAGTTTCATTTCGTGTTATTTGTGAAACAAAAAGTTGAATTCATATAATTATACAATGCTATTTAATTTTCTTCCAAACAGGGTTCAGAAACAAGTTTCAACGTGAATGCAGTTTCAACAATAGCATCAAACTTAATGTCCCAAAATTCTTATAAGAATCAGACGTCTGCAGTACAAACTCAAACGCAAACATCTACGACTGTTCTAACTTCCCAAACTTTAAATTCAAATACACCAACGACTGTTCAAACTAATACGCCTAGCAGTTATATGAATAGCCTTACAGTAAGGAATAATTTATCACATTACAATTGTTATTTTGTTATATTTTTATTGATTGTTTACATTGTAATTTACAGATACCACAAAATGTGCAAGGACAACAATGTGTACAAAATAATCAAAATGTACACCAAACGCACACGAAACAGCACAAGATTTATCAGAATCATGGAAATCAGATATTAAGTCCGTCCTCTGCCAATATGCAAATATTCTCACCACCAATTACCTCTATAGCTACTGTGCAGAGTAACGCACAACAGTTAACCACAGTTCAAACACAACAAACAGGAATGCAACAATCAACGCAATGTCAGACAGATCCACTAGACATTAAACCAAATATACAGACACCAAGTCCTGTAAAACAAGAGCTTTCTTCACCTATTCAAGTACAAGTTCAAAGTGGGTCTCCTGCAGGACAGATAGCCTCACCTAGAATGATTGTCAAAGGACCACAAAGGATTCAAAGTCCTGTAAATACTAATAGTAATCTCAACAAACAGACTGTTAGTCCAGGCAGCAATTCAAGTCCTTTAGTAAGTCCGAGACAAGGTGTTAAAAGACCTGCATCTAGCCCAATTTGCAGACAAATTAATCGTAGTGATTTGTAAGTATAACTTCTTGTCAATGTCGTTTAAATAATTTTACAGTTAAACAAAAAAAATATGTTTAATTGGTTACTTGAATTTTCCGTGTCACACTTAAAAATAGATTTTTATTTTTACTTTTATAGATTGGAACAACAATTAAAAATTGATCAAAACGGTGCGATAAATCCGGATGTGAATACACCATTTTTGAGTAAACGCGATGCTTGTAAACGTCTTGTAAGGTATCATTGTTTAAATGAGCAAGTACTTAGTTCTAAGGATTTGGCAAAAGCTGACGAGATATTTGAAGAAACTGCAAAACATTTATTATCTAAATTTAACTCTATGATGAACAAATACACCTATCTTCTTCTGATGGAGAGTATGGTATGTTTAAAATATTTTTAATCTCGTTTATATGTTGTCATATAGCGTAAAAGAACGTGACTTTTAATTTAAAACACTTTAGATATCAACATATATGAATTTAGATTTTATACGCAATTTACTGAAAAATAAATGCAGATGCATAATTATTTACATATGTATTTATAAGGTATTTTTGTAGTATTTACAATAAATCATTAACTGAAATAAAATTGCAGCGAGAAGTTCGGACATCAGAATTGATGATGATTGACAGAACTTTTGTTGCTGAAGAACAGAGTATACTAAATAGGTTACGAGAACAAGAGGCTAAAGTTAATGGTACATTTATAGTTTCAACATATTAACAATTAATTCCGTCAAATATATTATAATAATTATTTCTGCATATTGTTTTATAGAAGAGTTCAAAAAGGAAGAGAAGCCATTGGTGCCAAAGGTTGAACCTGGTCTTGTAGAAGAGGATAAATTATCATCATCGTTGACTAATGTATCTGTGAAACGTGAATTAGAAGATGATTTCCCGAGTGACGAAATGGAATGTAAACCAGTGATAAAATCAGCAAGTTGTACTAGCGGTGATTATGATGAGTGGGTAGAAATACAGAAAGAACTAGGCGTATATCCATCTACCACAGACTCATTTAAATGTAAAAATAGTAATAATAGTGGTAACAATAGTGCGTCTGCTGTGACTGTTACGAGATCGTCCAAAACAGAAAGAACACGAGCGAATGGTGAATGCCGTACAAGTGTACCAAGTGCAAGTGTCTCTGGAGTTCAAAATACCGTTATAAAAGACAATTGCGAACAGGATAACGCTCCAGTTTTCGAAAGACGTTGGAGTTGTGCTACTGATCTCGAACGGGATTTACTAGAAGATGCTGACAGCCTAGATGGACTGGCCTTACATTCTCAAACACAATGTCCAGGCTCTCTTCATGTAACTACTGAAAGTGGAAATGGTAATGAACACGATGATATTACTGCACAGGTACAGTCTGCCATTGACAGCATTCTTAATCTTAAGAAACGTCCTACAAATACATTACCCGGCAGTAATGGTAATAGTGCATCGCAGTCCAGTGAATCTAAGGACACAGTGCTTGATCAAGCAGTCCGCAGCATTTTAGGCTCGTGACCCTCCTTTAATAAAGTATGTTAAAACAAGTGAAGTTAATGGTGAACATCGTACTAGTTGTTCATTTGGAAAATTTTAAAAAGAACTATGTATCTTTTTGGTGATTTTTTGTGGTTAATGTGAATAATATAAAAAAGAACTACGTTTGACATTAAGAACACAGCAATGTTATCTTTGGTAATGCATATCTGAAATCATGCAGATTGTTAAATTATTTGTACAAATCTTACAGCCTTTAATTTCATTTATACATAAATTAAAACAGACTAACTGGATTATGCGATTTCAATACTTCTTCGAAATTCGTAAAGAAAATTTCTTTTCTGCAATGGCAATAACTACTCGTAAAAAAACATGTATACTTTCCAGTAGTCTAGTTGTAATAAAGTCATCGCGTTTACCTAAATCTAGCAGTTGTACATGTGGATAGATAGACAAATAGATCGATAGATAGATAATTAAATAAATAGATAATTCGCTCAGATTTTTCAATCTGCCACTTTGTAATGTAATTTTGTAAAAAGTAATTATTTAAAACAACTTATTCCACTTTGTCTGTAGTACTTGTAGAGAAATCTTATGGATACTTAAAATTGGGTCGGTGAATTGTACATACATTTTTAACGTGTATTATTAATATTATTATTGCTATTATTTGTATTATTGTTATTGAGATTTATTCTCAGAATCATTATTGTATTATTATTATTATTATTATTATTATTATTATTATTATTATTATTATATTATAATTATAATTATTACTACTATTATTGTCAATGATACCAACATCTCAAATAATGAGAAATGTATGGTATAAAGAGAAAGTAGTGGTTTAAGAGACTGAAATGGAAGACAATGAAAACAGAAGGCAAATGATATATAAGGTGAAAAGGGAACACAAAAACTTCTATATTAATTTGAATTCGTTTCTATTTAATGTATATGCAGTCTTAAATGTTAAAGTGCAAAATCAAACAAACATTTTTTAAGTAGATATAGTATTTTACAACTCTTTTGTCATCACATAAAATCACAATAGATCTGAGTAAATGATAAATACATGTGTAGAGAGCAGATGTGTGGAAAAAGGGTAATCACACATTGGTGACATTTTAAATGAATAATAGATGACCGGTGATTAAGAACTAGAAAGCAGATCTTTCTATATGTGCCTTTTTATTTTTTACATAGTTAACAACTAATGTATCTTGTATGTATATTTGACTCGCAACTTTAATTCGATACTAACATATGGAATAATAAGTACAGATCTTTTTAATCGGTACATTAAAACCATAGGATTATGGTCAGAGTTAATCATTGTTTTTAAATATCATTGACTAGAAGAATAATTGATCATCGTCAACAGTGCTTTTGCAAAAAATTTCAGTTTACGGTTGTACTTTTGCATCCTTTTCCCACATAAATTTATGATAGCTCTCTATACACAGAAGCAATGAAATGTTTTTGGCAAAAGCAATCCAAGACTGACGTATATACAGAGAATCAAGCAAAACTATGTAATGTATTACAATAAGAAATAATCATTTGTACATAATATTCAATTACACTCTCGACGGCAATCGTGACTTAATAAATTCTTCAAAGATTTTAAAATTTAGATATACTAAAGATTCTTTTAATTCTAATAAATTGCCGATATTTCACGAGTATGTGTATGAAAATATTTTTATCCTTATCTATGTCTAAGATTTCAGTTTGCAGCATGAAATTTAATTTCCTGCACTGAAAAAGAATCAATGATTTCTGTGAAAATGATATCGTATAAAATGCCAGACGAGAGTGAAGTCAAATGGTTAATGCGATAAAATGTAATTATAATTACCAATTACATGATTTTAGATATCATGAACATCTTGTAATAACCAACTCCTTTCCTATCACAACATCACAGAATTATTGCTATTCCAATTTCAACAAGTTTAGGTGCCTTATAAGAGGATATTCAAGTACATATTATATACTATTTTAATAGAGGCACATGAAACTGTTGAGTGTTTCATAAAAAGTAAATAGTTTATTATATTGCTGATATAATGTGCATAAGTAATATATTATAACTAAATATTATTAGTTGAATTTTTTCTTTAAATTATATCGTTTTCATCAATGATTGTATAATTTAGTACCAGCACTTAAGGCATTTAAGAAATGCTTGAATATACTTTATAGTACTTTATATGGTGGTGTCTGCCTTAAATCGAATTGCATGATTTGTTCATGTGCCTACATTCGTAATTTAAATTAAATTATATACTGACAGTAATTACTGTAGTTCAAAATATTTTTTATTTGAAAGTGTACTTTTGTAAAATCTACTTTGAATTCTTTTAATGCTTGGAAAATTTCACAAATGAAAATGAATAATATGAAATAGATATATAAAAACGTTGTCGATCTTAATTAACGACTTTTATGCGATTTTTTGATTTGTAAAACTTGCAGAAATGAAGTATATTTAATAATCATTATAACAATTCAGTTTTTTCATTTTTAATACTTGTTGATATGATTTCTAAATAATGTTCAACAACAACATGTTAAAGGTAAGTTAAATTGTACAAAATATTTCAAATTCTTATAATGTCTAGAATGTGATTTAAGTTTTCAAATTTCGAAATTTTTAAGTTCCCAAAATCTTGAATTTTTAAATTTCGAAATTTGATAATGCCTGGTCAGTTCCTCTCCCCGCTATTCGAGCATTTTACCCATCACATGTGTGATCGGTGAAATAGAAAATGTAGATAATAGAGCAACATATACTAAGTTTTCACCGAGGGTTCAAATCGGGTTAAAGTCGGGTTAGAGTTCAGTTGCCTTGCCTGTTTCCATCAGATCAAAGTTACGTTGGAGTTGCGGCAGGGTTGAACATTACCAACTGCACAAAGTCAACTACCATATTCTAACATGTAAAGGTTATATTATTAAAATGGATCGGAGAGCAATATTAATTTTACAATATCAAAATAACATACAAAAATTATTTCTCATATTACAAGATCACCGACAAAAAGTAATAATAACCTTGTTTACACCAATTAATACAACACGTGATACACAATGCAATTTGGATTTGTTATGTTGGCAACATTAACTCGACTTTTGTCGTTTCCACTGAACCTCAATTGAACGATACCCTACAATTTTATAGGGTAGAGTTCAACTTCAAATTTGGTGTTTCCACCATAAGAGCGCTCACCTCAACCCGATTTGAACCCTCGGTGGAAACTTAGTCTATATTATTCTTAGTACATTTTTATACTCGAACCTTTGGCGCGAAGTACAAAAATCGCTTCATACACACTCTTTTTCATCTTCTTTCTCATTCATGCCAACTTTTATAATTCGTTTATAACACCCGTATACGGCATAATACATAAGGAATACAAATATATAAAAATATTGGAATATAAAAATGTGTACATGAAAATACAAAAGTACAAAGACTTAGATCTAAACTTATACTCAAATCAAGTATCAAACTCTACATGAACAACTGTTTTACATGTGCACTTTTTCTTATTGCACCATAACATTGTGTTGCACATTAGTTGCTTTGGTCCCTCTATCTCCACCTTTATTCCCTATTTCCTATGTTTCCACAGTTTCACACTTCTAGGCTGCATTTATTGAGAAATGCGCCTATTAGCCTCAGTATCTTAGGTTTGCTCATGTCCTTTAAAAAAAGATAAGTTGTTCCATCTGCTGTTTCTAGGTCGCTGTGACAAGCATAGATTATGAGCAAAAACAGCAAAAAGGCAATGGCGGCTATTCTTTAGACGACTACTGAATTTATTATGAAAAATTTCGGAAAAATGTGATCTACGTGTTGATTCAAGGAAAACTTATTCAAGGTATGTGCTGACCGGATTTTCCACAAATTTGCGAATCTGACAATCGTTGCACTTACTACATACCGATGGATGCCACATGCAACCACATGTGGATTTAAAATTAACAAATAATTCGTTATAAAAACATAACTAACCATGAAATACAGTTTTATTTATTTTCAACCGTATTCTAAGTATTTCGTATTAAATTTATCAAGTATAAGAGAAAGTTTGATACAAAATTGTATTTCATTCTTACTACATTTGTACCGAATCTTTTTCGTGATTAATCATATTTATCCTTAATTTACGCGATGATGGTACGCTAATATTGTTTTTTATTCAAATCTACATATTTTAAAATAATAGTGCAATTAATACTAAATAATTCTGAATTCACAGTATAATGTATATTGCAAAAAGATAGGAGGCTTGAACCAGTTATGAAACAGATTCGATTCTTAGAAATATGTGTTAAATCTTATATATCGTAAATATTATATATTTAGCATGTAAGAGTCCATTCTGTATTTTTCTATTTTATTTCAAATATTACTGTAACATTGTTGTGACTGTTAAATTAAGTATTTTGTTCTTTCATTTAATTACTTTTATGATTGTTACTTCATATAAATTTCTTTGTATCTGTTTTTGATTATTTTATTATTGTTATGTTATTTTGTTTGAATAAATTATTTTTATTTATAGTTGTGTTTATTTCTTTTGTTTCAATATTATTCCTAATCCTCATTGCTGCGCTACTGATCAGTGGGTATAGTGTAATTATTTTTTAACACATTGTTATCAAATAATACTAATTCGGTATCCATAGGTGTGGCCCAAAGGCGGAGGGATGATATTGCTCATAGGAATAGAGATGGCACACAGTATGTGCAAACAATGGCTGACAAACAAATAGAGCAGTCACCGTGTTCAATGAATAACGAATGGTTGTTGCTAGTAGATCAGATAGGGAAGATCGTCGGCAGGCAGGAAGGAGTAAACAATCGAGTGTGCCTAAGTAATGAGCGAGACTCGGCATCATCTTCACTCGGTTTCGGACTTGTATGCAGCCGACGAGATAGAAGTACTTTTATTGGAAGAAATTCGTGACCTGGAATTACCAGCTTCTGCATATTCTAGACCTGAAGATATTCAAGATTTTGACATCGGTATCAACTATTTATATTTTATATATTAGGAGTTCTATATATCTTAGACATTATAAAACATAAAACATTTGGAGGAAAGGTATAGACTGATATTGTATTAATAGCAGGTAGTAGAACAGGGGGGCAAATTAGCTCCCAACCTTTGGAGCTGGATTCACCAGGGGTCCATTCAACAGTCCATTCATGGGACTCGCATGCTAATTATCATGGTCATTATGGCTATGATCACCATGACACTTCCTCCAATGCTTTGGCTTGGCCAAGAGCAAGTCATTTGGTTCTTTACTGTGACATACAGGGGCATCTTAAAACAGCTATTGGCGTTGTTAGACTTTTACTGCTTGTGAGTAACATTTATTAGGACTTGTTATTTATCTGTCCCTTTTTGTCTGAATGATATTAAGTCTAATTATTTGCATAGATATCATCTGCAGCGTGTTTGGCAACATTGTGCAGCTCCGGCACTGCCAAGGTCAGCTTATTTATGTTGCCTTTAGTCGGGCGGCTGCGTTTCATGATCTTTGTAGCAGTTTTCTGTTTTTTGATCACTGCATTGCTCCTCTTCCTTGATATTTCGCATGTTATCTATGTTTTTCCTTTCAATTGGGCTAAGTTGGTAAGTAATCAACAATTCATTAATATTTTATTCTCTTTGTTGATATTAATATTACATTATTCAAAGTATAAAATCAGTTAATATGTAATTATTAATAATTTAATATTTTGACACTAATATATCTGATAGAATCCACCTCTTATAGAATGCTTGGGTATTCACTGGTATAGGCTTATCTTACGCCTTGAGTAGTGCATTATTAGCATGCTCTATATGGGAATATTACAGTGGTGGTTGGGTACCAAAACGGACTCGTTCTCAGTTATCTGCTGCGGCAGCACTTGGATTATCATGTGCTATTTTAGCATTTTTACTTTCATGGATACATGGCCGCAGTAGATCAAGTTGCAGGAGTTCAGATAGTCGTACTCATACACCAACACAACTTTATAAACCTGTTGATAATTCTTCTTCTTCTGGAGTAAGTATTTATGGTCCTTGTGTTACATCAAAAAGAAATTCAAGTTGTTAATATCAATTATAATTTTACAGGTTACTCTCAAAGAACGGAGCCCCAAGAGGCCAGATTCATGGGTTGTAAAAAATCAACAGTCTAAAAAACAAAATACAGATAGTGATACAAATACAAATAATGGCCATCACGGCAACGATACTCATTCAAAATATAAACAAACAGCTAACAGAAAGGATCATTGGGCTTCAGCGAGACAACATTTCTTACCATCACAAGAAAATAATGAAGATATTCAAAGAGAGGATGTTAATACCGAAAGGAGAAGAAGACGAAGAAGAAGAAATGGTGATAGTAGTTCCACGGGCGATGGAAATTTAATAAGTAATAAAACCGATAGTGATCATATTATTGAAGAAAACAAATCTAGACGAGTGCCGCGAAAACTACCTCTGCAGTCGGTAGAGCAATCTCGACCTTGGCCTGGGGCTGAACGCGGAAGCAGTAGTTCTATGCAAGTTAGAAACAAAACTTTACAAATGCCAGTGAACAATAACGCACAGGACTATTGTGGCATAGATGAATCTAGTACAATGCAAGTGACTCAAAATGGTTTTCATTGGGAGATGGAATGTACATCTAGTAACAGTATGGAAAAAACAACAGAAATAACTATGGATCGTACTGCCATGTGGTCTGGACAATGGCATCCACCACCTGATGACGTTCAACCATGTTCTAGCAAAACTATTGATCCTTACAGCTTTGCCTGATCAAATTTGGAAATGTATAAATATGTTCTAGAAAATATTGGACTCATTGCAGTGAATGACTTTTGGGAACATTTATATAGTACAGAAGTTTCCCTTGGAATGATAGTTCCATAATATCATATTTCATTTTCTTTTACTATGTTAAAACAATAAAAGCAATATTTTATTGTTTTACCAACAAGATAAGTTATTTCAATCATGAATTTACTGAATGAAATATGTTTCGAACTACATCTAGTCATATTAATTTCAAAGGTAGTGCACAGTGATCATGAAAAAAAACTATTTTACCATCTTCTATGTCTGTGTTCTTGTTCTCTGTGCATAAAAGAAAAATGTTATTTTTTAAATTAAGCTGCTGATCAGTTATTTAATATAAGTGTATAAAATTCTATTCCATATTTAACAAGGGAAAAGGGACAAAATTGTTGTATCTGAAGATTTGAGAATCCTGTATAAAGTTATCGTTGCCTTGTATATTATGCTGCCAAGAAGATAATTTATCCTTAGTTGTCGATTTTTGAAGTTTTGCATCATACAACCAGACTGCCCAACTTTGATATACAGACAATGTCGTCTCATTCCAATTATATACTAAATAATAAACCTAAGTATTAATGGAATTATTTGTAAGTATAGTTTTTACTAGTATTTGAACACTAAAATATTTGTTTATATATTATTTTTATTGTATTTTAATACCAACATACTTTAGTTTTATGTATACTTAATAATTCAATAGTGATGATAAAAAAAATAGCGAGTAAAATGTAATTAAATTTATCGACATATTATTTTTATTTATTAAATTTTGAAAATTAGTTTAAAAAATGTTTAAATTAGGTAAAATTATTTTCTTATCAGAATTAGTTTAATTGTAGTTATTATATGACAAATCAGTATGCACGGAACAAATGTTTAATCTGTGTTATTCCAACTTTTTAATATTAAGATACGCTCATTAAAATAATATTATTGCACAGAGATGGACATAGAAATGAGTTTCACGAGTATGATTAAAAAAAATTGTTTTTCATGATTGTAATATAGTGTAACACGATATTCGTTAATATTTTTTAGCGCTTTATGAATTATGATTGAGTTGTAAGTGCTTATCTAATTTAGCAGCTGAAGGTCAATCCATCTCTATTTTTGTAAAAGATATATGCACTATTTTCAATTCCTACATGTAATTTAAAAACAATTAGATGAGGAATACAATGAACAGCAGTGATATTGTGTTACTTCTTTAATGAAAATTTCAAGTCATTTCTAGTCCAGTACTCTTGTATAATCCTATCTCTTTACTGGTTCATCGAAGGGAAAAGTAATTTTTAGTACATACATATCGTATTAGAGGTACAATTTATCTTGAAAGTTATTAAAACACTGCATTCTCTGACCAACTGGTCCTTAAAATTCCTTTCATTGTATAAGAAGTGACATATAAAATGAATTACATTGGGACCTCTGTTTCTTTTTTAGTTTATTCAATCGTTATAATCACACATGTATAAAAAAGTAACTAATTTCAACTAGGTTCATAAGTGACAACTATTTTGTCTTTTGATACAATATTAAAGTATACACCCAAATCAGACACTTAATTACACGTGGGCGTGTTTAACGGTTGTTTAATCAATTATAAGATAAAAAGTGTGTGTTTATATAGAATCATACAAAAAAGAGAATAATATATATTATGGTAGCTTCGTTGTGGTAAATACAAATAATGTAATTTCGTTTTTTTTTAAACACAACGAAGGAATAAATGTAATTTTTCTTATACATAGTACATATTAATGTACTGATGAAGTGTTTGGAAATACAAATACATTTCATGACAAAAATGTTGGATGGAAATGTTACATAGTGCAAGATATTTAGCTTACGAGTTTAACTAAAATGATAAAAAAATATGTATGGACACTGCCAAAAAAATGTAATGCTCTTTGAGTGTCATGTATGTCAAACAACTTTGTTACTTTTTCAGTAACTTAGTATTTGAGGCTTTACCTCGCTACAATCTGCAATACCTCATAATAAATGAATTGTTAAACTTATATTTAGTATGTGAATCTACAACACTGTTTAATATATTTCTGTATAAACTTTAACCGAAAACGCTTCAAATTATAGCACAAATACTAATAAAAATCAAACTTAGGTTTGAACTTCAAAAATTTTAATACATTATAGAACTTATAAATTGTTTAAATATTACTGTTCAAACAGAATGTAAATTGATTTCACCTTTCTGCAAAAATTGTTGTTTCTTTTTTTAAATAAATTTACTTTCTCTTTACTACAAATTAATCATTGAAAAAATTGTTCAAATAAGTAGGAGTTATCTACAATATTTTTGTTCCTTATTTTTGCTCTCATTGATACTCACTCTAAATTTATATTCTTTTGATATCTTTTAATTCTAACAACAAAAGCAATGAAAACATAAAGAGGTATTTGCATTAAACCTAATGTAATAGTTATTTGATCAAATATTGACGTCTTAGACTATTATTCAAATTGATCTATAAACAACTATTCATGCTAATAAATAGCAACATCCATTCTACGCACAAACATCATTTCTTTTTTTATATAGCATCATAAAATAATTATTGTTACCATATGATTTAGCTTCTTTTATTATTTAAGTTAATCAAAATACCAATGTTGAACACAATAATTTATTTTTTAAAGATAAATAAATAAAGTTTGGAACAGTGCAATTTAATAATACAAAGAACATTTTCTAGTGCACATCTATTGTTTCTTAGTCACTGTAATACTAGATAATGACAATCCAAAAGAGACGAATGAACTACATGATGCAAGAGCCCTTTGGCCTAATTTTGTTCATTGAGTACTATCAGAAGAAACAAAAAATTCTTTGAGTACGTTTTCATTTTGGAATAGGTGCTGATAACTAAGTATTGAGAGCATTGTTAATACTTGAATTCATTATGATGCTGTCAGTACTAACAACATTAAATATCTGATATAATAATGTTTCTATTTGTAGACTTTGCAAAGGTAGGTGTGTTAAATGTTCTCTGAGACAAGAAAAGATTATTGTGAGTTGATAAATGTGGTTGAATAAATTACCAAGAGTTACATGATTTCAATTTCTAACTTGTTGGTAATTTCTTATACTACATAGCGATGGTCTGGACAATAACGATTAATGATCCATATATAACACTTAAGTTAGTATTGTCGTTTATTCTTTTAAAAGCCATTTTATACACTTAGAAATAATGAAATAAGCGACTGTTGTATAGTGCATAGTGCATATTACACAAAGTCGTGAATGCGTATATTATATGTTAATTATAAATAAACCACGAAATGTTAGTAATTAGAGATAACTTTGTTCTATGTTAATTAATGAGGAACACGTGTATATTTGTTAATATGTTGTAAGTATTAAGGTTCGATTGGCGTCAGTAAGGAACGATATCTTGCGTATATGCATTTAGAACAGAAATTGTCACGCAACCTTTCGAAATATAAAAAAATTATTAAAACTATTCGCGATTAATCTAGCACTCACAGTTATTATCTTTTACCAGTGCCAAAATATGGTAGAATATGTATATATATACATATTCTTTATTATATGTATGTATACCAATATAGATACATACATATAAAAATACACATACAGATAAAGTCATCAATGTTCTATTAATTATTGAAACTGGTGTAAGATAAATGAAAGGATGAGAAATTTTATTCAATCTGTACTTTCCTGACTTAATAGTATGAACTAATATTCGTGTATCTAATGAACACCCTTATTTCTTTGACACATGTAATTTTGTAAACTGTCTCTGCATTTTATATTATTCTGATTTGATTCCTTTTATATGACCATTCATGTAATCAAGTATGTATATTTGTAGATTAACATATTTTATATTCAAAAATTTGAAAACTTTATAGAAGTCAGTAACAATTCCTTAATCATTTATGTTACTGTTCCTATCTTTTTCAATTTTCTAACTACATCTCTTAATTGTACCCTTACTGTACCCTTTGCTTCATTTCCTTACTTTTACTTTGTACGGAACACTATTTTCACATAATGCAATACAGAATTCCTTCTGACATAAGAGTAAATGGAGTACACCAAAAAGAACACAGTAGGATATATATGGTACTAAAAGTAATGACTAGATAACTTACTCTTTGTTTCTTGAAAGTTGAAGTGGAAACTAAAACGAGAAAAAGTAACAGTTAAATAAATAATCAATAATATTTACATATCTGGGTAGTTTTTAACATTTATTTATGTCTTACCTCTTGTGAAAATCTTAATTGTTTTGTTCTTGGATGTTTCCAATCGTTGTATTGTACCCAAGTATATGGACTGTTATACATATTTGATAGTCCTGATCGTGCCACAGTATGCACTGAAAATTGTGGGTTTACTGTTAACTGCTCATGTTGTTGCAACAACTGTTGTTGATAGAAATGACTAGAATAACATGGATCATATTTGGTGGAAGTCCCCACGGATGATAATGCCATGGAATTTGCTACTGCCACTATAAAATAATATATATAAATATATATTATACGCGTTTATTCAAGTTATTTCAATTTTAATCATAATTGCAATAAACCTTTAGTTTTTTGAATATTGAGTAATGTATCATAGTATTGTTTTTTAAATGTAGCCAGCTTTGTAATGGATGTGGATTGTTGCAAAGTGTTAACATTATTTTGATTCGTTTGCTTCATTGTAAATCTGAATATAAACAATTTTATTAAGTAAATTACAGACCATGAAAAATATTAAATCTGTAAAATAATTTCAGTACTTGTATTGTAAATGTTCTGTATTATCTTGTTTTTTACATTCTCTTGCTGGTGTTTTATCAAGTGCAGTGTTTAAATTCCTATGAAACATATCTATTTGAGCTGATTTTGGATAAATATCCATTGATCTTAATGGTTTGTCTTCAACAAATTTGTTTGTATTCTCTGATATGTTTACACATTTTGAAATATTCTTAGTATTTAATAAAAAATCTAACTCATTCTTATTTTCCAGATTTTTCTCAGTTACAAAGTTCCAATATTTGGATGTCAGAGGGACTAAATTTAAAGATTTAATTTGAGGCAATATTGGAAGTTCTAAACACACAAAAGAAAAACACATTTGTTACATTTATATTTGTTAAATAAAAATATAGCAATCATTAATAAGTATAAAATTGATTTTAGTACCAATTAAAATTTCCTGCTCAGCACGTTTTAAAAAACTGCATAAACTTGTTCTGAGTTTTTTATGTACCACAAAGTTATTCATTATGAGATTATTTTCTTTTAGCATCTGAAATATTATTTACAAAAAATATAGAATACTGAAATAATTATTTTCATATATAAATGTAATTATCACCTTTGAATTTGTTACTGTATCTTTTTCTGTTTCATCATAGCATACAACATCCATTTTGTATATATCTTGCTGAATTTCTTGTTCATTTTTAAATTCTTGTGCTAAATGTTTATACATTTCCATATTGATAATTTTATTTTTGTGTATATTGTTGTCGTATTTTTTAAAATTTTGATTCATATCTTCACTATATAAAGTTTTACAATCCATCTCTGATTTTGGAAAATATTTGTTATCATGGGTTACTCCTAAGTTTAGAATTTTAGTTTTATCTTCTTTGTTTAAAATTGCTCCACTTTTATACAATTTTCTTTTAAAATATGTATTATCCTATAACATTAAATAAATTTTACTTAAAGGAATAACTAAATCAAAGCTACTATTATATTAACAACAAGTAAATCACTTTTACAAACCTCATAAAGTGCATGAGGTACATTAGCTTTATTGTAATGATTACAATTATTAAGTTTATCAATAGGTAATTGAAAAAGTTTATCATCTGCTGTCTTAGGAAAAACTTCACAACAGGATGTAGTACCTTGATAAGAATTAGTTTTATACAAAAGATGAGGAGTCTGAAACCATTCTAATTTTGACTGAAGCTTTAATGAGTCTTCTTCTTCACTAATATTTGATGAAAAATTTTGTTTAATATTAATACACGTTTCTATACATGGAATGTTATTATCTAATGTATTATACATGTAATTCACATTTTTTACATGGCTATGAACCATAGAGATTTCATTGGGAGGAAAACCTCGAAATACTTCAGATACCGAAGGTATAAACTGTATGAAGAAAAATAATTTATATATTAAAATCAAATTAAGAAGTTTATATAGATATTCAAATACTCATAAAATTAATTTTTACGTTATTATTTACTCCAAAATTTTGGGAAGCTGTATTAACCAAACTATTCTGATTCAAATGCATCTTTGATTTTCCATCCAAGATTTCAGTACTAGACTTACTTTCAGAAGCAAGGCTAATTAAAAAATAAAAAAGTATACTTATTGGACATATTATGAATATGTAAAAAATATTTTCCACAAACCGTACTTTTGGTATGTAGACATGTTATTAGCTGATTTAATTAGGTCAGTAGTTTTACATATTATGTCCTTTATTGCAATATCTGAAGCACCTTTTGGTAGTGGTATTATAGAAATGATACGTTGTTGCATATTACTATCAAAATTTTCAGATAAGACTAGTAATGTTTTCAGTATATGCTCATATGCACTTATTCCATCATCAGGATGGTACATATTTAGTAATTGATTCATTACATTAATAATATTTTTATACTTTGAATTCTGCTGTAAAGTAATCCATGAAAATGGATAATTTTCAAATGCGGGACTAACATTTACTGTAGTATTTCCATTTTCTTCAATTACTAAAATAAAAAGTTAATTTTGTTTATTCAGTTAACTTCAAAGTCTTAATACATGTAAAATTAATATAGTAATTTGATAAAACCGATAAGTTTAGTGAAACTGATATGAAATATTATTTGCTATAATTTGAATAATGTATTTTAAATAGCATTGCTACTTACTATCGGTAGAATTCATTTCCATTTCGATATAAACGTCTATTTATAAAATGACAGTTTCTCTAATAAGCTTGGACATATAGCGGAATTTGTAAATACAATTAATTGGTAATTATCAAATAATAAAAACAGCTGCTTCGGCATATTATTGTCGACAATTGAATAACGCATTTCTAGCAAGTTCGTTTGCAAGTCGATCGAAATCGGATTATAAACTGAACTGTAAAACATTTTGCTTTTATGTTTACTAAATGAGAGATAATATGATTTTCTTAATACATAATTCGTAATTCAATACAGAATTATTTTTTTATCGTTGATTTTATGACTATATAAAAGAAGAAAAATAATACATTAAATATGTTGTTCATAATAAAGTAAATAAATAAAGTAAAATTATAGTACAAATTATTATCATATTTTAAGTTATGAAGGTAAAAAAAATCTATTTGGAATAAAAAATATTATTTAAATAAAGTAATTACAGTACTTATTAAAGCAGTAATATGAATGAGAAGGAAATTGCTGTTTCAAATGATATAAAGGAATTATACTAGCTAATTATAAAACGCAAGTGTACTTTCTGTATACAATGGATTATTTTAACAAGAGTATTAGTCTTATATTAATAGTCTTACAAGCTTTGCATATATTACCATCTGACCACTGCTATAAAAGAGACTGCAAGACATAGTTCAACAACTCGATGCAAGATGTATCAACTAAAAGATCTATTACTTTTCTCTTATTTAATAGTTTTAATAACTGGTGCAGCTGTTAACATCCCTACTAAATCAGGATGGACAAGCAGTGCTTCAAAATCTGGTAATATAAAACATTTAATTTTCTCTAAATTTTAGACTTGAAATATTAGAAAAATACGTTACATAAGTATGTAATGTTCATGTTATATTTTTCTATATAATATATATTTTTAGTTTATTCAAGAGCTCTTGGACCACCAGTGGGAGTGGATACTATAACAGTGCCTTATGTGCCAAAGTCTCCACTTTTTCCAAAATTTGTTGATCCAAAAATGATGATTTCGAAAAAAACAGACTTGTTGAACAATTTGTTTAATGGTTTGGGACCAGTTTATCCTATGAATTTTAAACCATTTATACCATATTCTGCTACTAGACCATCTTTAGTTAGTACTCCCACTCAAATGCAACAACTACTAAATGCTTTAGGCCAAAATAGTGTAGATGAAGGCAATGGACCATATAAGCGTGGAGCTTTAGGACCTTTTGGTGGCAAACCTTTTGGTCCTATGGGTGCCAAACCTTTTGGTCCTATGGGTCCTAAACCTTTTGGGCCTATGTCTAAATTTGGATCTAAATTTGGGTCTACTTCTAAGTTTGGACCTATGTCTAAATTTTCAAGCTTTAATACTGAACCTGATTATGATATGTCAAGTGACTATTCCCGTAAAAGGAGAAGTACAGATGAATCTTCTGTGGCCAAACTACGATCCATTATGGATGATAGTAAACCAGAGACAAAGAGCTTGGGACCACCACCACCTTATCCTACTCTTGCTCCAATTTCTGAAGAATCAGAAGATGAAGTTAATGTGTTACTTAAGAAAATGGGAAGTGCAACAGCACCAAAGCAATATCTACCAGGATTCTTTGGACCTGTAGTTGATCCATCTATGTTCATAGCAAAGAAGTCTGCTTTTTTGGATACATTATTTAAAAATCTTGCTACTAGTACTACTCCATCACCACTACCAACAGAAGCAGAAACTTCAACAACAAAAAGTACCATTGTCCCACCAGATTTTTGGTTTCCAACATCAATAATACCTGGTCCAACTGAATATGATGACAAGGTACAAGAATTCTTGAATAAATTATTTGAAAGCTTGAAGCTTAACAAAACTGCCACAAGTGAGACTGAAGGAGCACTCAAAAATGACTTTGCAAGATCTTCTGAACTTGATGAGGATGCAGTGCAATCAAAAATTGCTAGATCTATCGAAGATGTATCATCAATCAATGCAGCTAAGGATGAAATTATTGACACTATACTAGCTGAATTGGGTGACTTGAAAACTAATATGGTATCTACGATGAACGATTTAATTACATATGAAAAATCCGTATCCACAATGTCAGCAAAGAAACCTTTCAAATCTTTTGGACCAGGTATGTGGCCAAAACCTACTCCAAGCGGAATGCTTCCATTTCAACAAAAAATGGCAGTCTTAAGTCGAGTATTTGACATGCTAACCGATTTGCAAAAGAATATTACTTTAGCAATTCAGAATGCAGTAAAAGCTAAAATGGGTTCTGCCAACGTTCCGGATGGAAGCGCTGGTATTAACTATCCATTCAATTTCAATGATGCTTATCCTTTTGCCAACAACATACCTATCAATATGAGCCTTTTGGACGCTATCAAACAGAGACTGGATTCACTTGAATATGGAATGCCTATTTCTTACAATCCAAGTTTCAATAAATATGAATCAAAGGTAGCTCGAACACTGTCAAAAACTCCAACATCATTTTGGGTGTCTTCTCCTGAAGATGCGGCGGGTATAAAACGGCAAGTTGATAGTGACACAGAATCTTTGATAAGTAAAGATAAGTCTGACCAAAAGCAACAGGCGCGTTCAGTTAAAATGCAAATGCATCAAGGATATCAGAGTTTGCCAGATGGTGCTATAGAGTCTGTGCAAGCAGGAGGCGGATCTGTACCTGGTCATCAGGGTGGAGGAATTAAGTTGCTTGTAAGTATCTGAACAAAATAAGAAAAATGATAAATTAAAGTATAAAATATCTTGGATTCATATATTAGTACTCATTATTGTTTGCAATTAAACGAGGTCGATAACTGTACCTACTTAACAGTAGCTAAATAATACTAATATGAAATTAGATTAAAAAGTTGGCAAATATGTATCATTATAAAACAAATGATGATGATAAGAGATGTTATGTAACATGAAAGCTTCATTTGTTTCCAGATACAAATGCCTGTATTGCCTAATATACAAGTGCCAGACTTACAAAATAATAATTACGAAAACTAGGTACGTGATATTTGTATACTGTGAATATTGTGCACATGTTCGTTTGTTACAGGATAGCAATAACGACGAGGACATGAACCAGTGGTTCAATTGGATGGAATATCTGAAAAATGATTATCATGGACACAGGCATCATAATCATCACTAGACCATCAATCCAGCAGGAATATTTGCTTCAATTGTAATTACAAATTTTTATCTTTAAATTGATTATTTTCACATAGTATATGTTATGTGTATGCTTGATAATGTTTTTCAATAAAGTGAGTTTTGCAATGTACATAGTACAAAATTGAGTATCACCAGAACGCAAAACTTTTCAAAATCTACTACTTAAAAATATAGAATAACAGATACCTAAAAGATACACGTCATTTTATTATGTTTTCTAATAGATTTATAATATACGTACAATTTCAAATATAGCAAATGAATATTCGTTCGATATAACAATATCAAATTTAAAACAATAAAATTAACATGTACATCAGTAAAAGTATCATCAGCGCACATGGACGCAATCCTGCATCAAGTGCGTTGCTTTGTTTCTCTAATCAGCAATGCATTGCACGCAGGGTAGCGTTAGTGTGTTAGGAAGCAACAAAATTAATAATTAATCCTTCAAAAATCAAAGGAAATATGTATTAAAACTTGTATTAAAAGTTCACTTCAATATTTACACTAAATATATTTAGCTGTCTGGTATATAAAGTCATATAAAATGCTGGAAACTGGCAGTATTGGTAAGTGTTGACATTAGCTGTCTACTTATTTTAATATAAATTTTCATTATTAATATTATAAATAACAAGTCATTGCACGCATTCTTAAAGTTATTTTTCAAAATTTTGATACTTTACTATATTGATTGTATCACACACCATAAAAAGTGGACTAGTATCATCTGCTTTTGGTCACTCTAGATATAAGATGTTCCATTTGCTGATCGATTCTGAACACCATATAAAAGGATGCCAGTACACTGCTTAACGTTACTAACAATCCCAAACCCTCGAATATTAATTTTGGCGCGAAGATTTTCCAAACCATTAAATGTCGACAGTGAATCGTTGCGGCAAGCATGCTGCCAAATGTCTATAATACATATGAAGTTATAAAAATATACTAATTAAATTTACATTTAAACCTGAAGTATTTTTTATAATTCAACTACTTTATGGTCTTTAAAATAGTAATAAATCTATGATATCAAAAGTAATAAATTACTTACTCTAATTCCATAAAGTAGTATGTATTTTCCTGCGACCGAAAAAATGGCAGTATGAAATACAGAATCTTGCTCGAATAGAAGCAACTCTCCTCTTTTCATGTCATCCTCAACAAATTTGACTTTGGCTAGTTTTGGAAATACAAGATAAAAAGTAAAAGGTACAATCACTAGCAATGGTAATGTTGCACCAAGTATAATATGTGATCCAAAAGTATTTATTCCTGTAAATAATTAATATTTATTAATAAAAATAATATTTTAAATTAATGAATATAATTTGTATATACCTATTAAGATTGCTGATAATAAATTTCCATAGAAATGTCCACCTGTCCCTACAAATGCAGCATCCCAATGAATAGTAGGAAAAGATGATTGATGCCCAGTTCCATAAAAGAAATATTCTGCTATTAGGAACCAGCACAGTAAAGTAGGAGTAGGTACTTCTACGAGTTCAGCTATTTTAAAAATAAATATGTTAGAAATATAAAACTTTGTTTACTTCATTCACAAATTATTTATATACATTAAAGTACTCACATATGTTATTAGCATTCTTGTATCTTTCTATGGCAGATAAGCCCAAAACAGAGGCACAAGATATAAACATTAAAAAAGTACTAGGTGATAGTATATCTCCTAATAGTAAAGAATATAACAGCATAAGGAATACGCTCAATGAGACAAATGTAGCACTGTAAGCAGTGCCTAAGCCATAAATGACTGGTGTTTCATCTACGTCTATGTTTTTGCGATAAATTGACTTCTTTATCTTTTCAAATAATCGAGGTACTATATTTTCATCCTGGTACAAGTTAATTGATTCTTTTCGTTTCGGTAAGAGAAATATACTGAGTGGACGATAGTACAGAATAAAGATTGCAAACAGACTCAGTGCATACACAATATTAGGCAATGTACTTACTTGCCAAGACAGTGCAAATTTTATTTTTATAAATTTAGGTAATCGTTGAAGAACCCAATAACAACCCATACAAACACCAATTACAACAGGACAATACTGTCCTACTAGAACACTGGGAGAAAAACCAGAAAGATTTCCACAATTTTGTAACCAGAGTCTTATTATTGTAATATATAATGCCAATATGATTAAGGCAACAGCAAGTAAAACACGTTCTAAATTATTTGATATTATAGAACCCATTTTGCCAGTTACAAATATGGAACATATACGTTTTTGCTGCTCTTCACGGCAACGCCAAAAATAGTAAGATAGCCGTATAGAAACACATGCTATTAAACCAATGGCTATTACAACTGTTTTCAAATTTGACTTAGTTTGTGATTTAAAAAATGGCTTTGTTTTCCTTTCTAAATTTTCATTAGTATTCTCTTTTTTTAAATTGAATACAAGAAGCCAAAAAAGAGTAACAAGTAAAAAAGATAGCACATTATCTTCCTCAACAATGTAACTGTTAGAAAACAGAAGGCATACTGTTAAAAGAAGTATTACTCTACTAATATAAATTAACTTTTTAATCTTTTTATAATCATACCAACTCATTGATATAACATCCCAATTTTTAGCAATTAATAATACTAGTAATACTACAGACACTGCACTAGTTGCAAATAATATTGTAGTTTTTAATTCCTCTAATATATTAAATAAAAATAGGAAGAAGATTACTAGTGCAGTAATTAAATTTATCAAAATAGAACATTGCAAAAATGATGATTCAAATATCTTAGACATACGATTTTCTGGAATGCCTGTAATAAACAAGTAAAAGAAAAACAAAGCACAAAACATTAAAAGTAAACCTTTTGACATTAAACTGGAATCAAACTGAATCCAAGCTTCTGAACATGTATTTTTGAGTAATTTGAAATAGTTTCTACTATTTGCAATAAAAGATTCAAATTCTTCAATGGTATTTACATGCTTTATCTGTTCATATAAATGATTATACATATTTTCTAAACTTTGAAGCTGGTCATTAGAAAATAGGTAACTATCCATAGAATAAACATCTATATATTTTTTTGTTTGTACAATATTTCTCCATGTTGAATGCAATGAATACCATAAATCATCTTCTGATCTTTCATTTCTTCTTGAACTTGGCAACGAATCAATTATAACAGATCCCAAATTAGAGAAAGGTATAGGTGTTCCAAGGATCGATGCCAATGTAGGAACAAGATCAATTTGACTAACGGTATTGTGCACTGTTTCATATTTTATGAGAGGAACCATAGAGTAAACAAACATAGCAGCTTCTATTTCACTAATACTATCACCACCATGATCTCCTGTCTCTGTCATTCCATGGTCACCAATGACAAAAAATATTGTGTCTTCTTCTAAAGATTCAATGATTTCTTTTATAAGATTATTTGTATCATTTAACTTTCTGGCCATCTCAGGATGATTAGCTCCATGTTTATGTCCACAATGATCAACACCCAGAACATGAGCAATAAGAAGGGACCAATCTTTCTTCTTCATTTCAAAGAATATACGATATCTAACATCTTTATCTACAGTGTCCAAATCCCAGACATTAAAGGAAGGTGATGGAAACTGACGTTTGAATTTACCAGGGAATAAATTAGTCCAAGTATCATCACCCATGAAGACAATACCCTTGTCAATATTCTGATCAACTATATTATCTTCATCAATCCTTTCAGAAGCAAAATTAGATCCAATATCAATAAAGGTAGGTAAAGATCCTGTTGTAAGACCCTTTAATCTTTGCATAGTTGTCGTTGGAGGATCTGCCATAAACTTGTATAAACGTGAATGCATAGGTTGATTTTGCAACAGTTCATGTATTACTGGCAATTTATTGCGATAGTATGAGGTAGTACTATTTTCATCATACCAATGTGCAAAATCATATTTTAAAGCATCAACAACTAGCAGAACAACACGTGTCTTTCTTTCGATACAAGTAGCTGCAGCAGCTTTAGGATCTTGGAGAAGTTGTTCGATATCGCAATCAGAATCTGTACAATATTTGCATTCGGCACGTTCTGGTCTGGAAACACGATTCAGTAGAAAACCACTCGTAAAAACTAACAAGCCAGCTGCCATTAAATATGATATCCATCCTTGAAATATTAGATAATTCCACAGCTTGCTCATTTTTCCTAATTATTTGTTATTTTTTCTTCTTATTTAGAGAAAACGCAACGTCGAAAGAATTCCAAAATAATCTAACCCTATTTCTTGACAGATATTTATTTTTTACCATTGTCACATAATTACATAAACAGTATGAATACTTGTATAAAAAATGCGTCACGAAAATGTCATTAAATCTATAAGACTTTCAGTCAATAACCCATATTTTTTAATTTTAAAGGAATACAATAATTAACCTTAAATTTACTGACTGAAGCGTTATAAATACATAAGTATAGTTTTAACTTTACATATTCGAATGGCGCTAAATTTTAAGCGTAAACAGTGTTGCCAAATGTGTTTAGTGCGCTTGCGCATTATCCACGATTACATCAGTGATGGGCAGTCTCAGCGCATGCGCACTAGGCTATCCGTAGAAGTCCTCAGTAGCGTATACACTTTGATGAAATATAAGGTATCATTAGGCCCTAGTGAGGAAAAAAATAAATCTGAAGAAAATTGCAGGAAAGAGAATGAAGGGGTTAAAAAAAACAACAGAACATATATAATAAAAGTAATATTAAATTTATTTATAATTATTATTATTTTTTACGTTTGCAGCCGATTTGTTATATGAATACCAAAATTTGTTGCAAGAGCAAAGGAAAATATACCGCTCGATTTTTATCAGATCTATGCATGTTAACAAAATAAAATCCTTGTATTTCTTTCTTATTGTTTCTCTGATGTTATAATTTTCACACGTATAAAATATAGTTATTCAAAGAGGTCCTTCCAAGTCGTTTTTCTTAAATAATAAATTCATTTAGTGT